ACGTGATACATTTTGATAAGTAAATCAACAGGCGGCACTGAATCTTCAGTTCACTTTATTGCCTCCTTCTTTGCATCAACATTATTAAAAACTTAAACCAGAATATTAGCTAAAGACTTGAAGCCATGATTCAACCTGCAGGAGGATCAAATTGAGACAAAGAAACAGGGGAAACAAAAGAAGGCAGAAAACAGTGTCTCCAAACAGGACATCAGACAGAAGCTGAAAACACAGATGATCATGAGGAGAAAATGATGGATGGAGGTTGTGGCAGTACTTTGTTGTGACAGCCACACTCTCCAACAGACCATGGAAAAGCAACAGCAGAAAATAGGACGAGTGTTCTCATTTTGCCTTTTGTGACCCTCCATCCCACCAACTCCTCCTCCTGGACACTGGAAGGACAAAAGCTGTGAAAACTCATCTATGGCTTGCAGACAGAGTGTAACAGTGTTTGATTTGAAAAGTGCCGCAATAAAATAACAGTCTTCTTGCCCAATATTTCATTTTAAGTACCAACATGTAGTACATTTTAACAATGAGACACATGGATAAGTGGGGAATTGGCAGGAGCCATTTAAGTAATTGGATAATCACAGTGAACAGAAGCACGGCACACTAAACCTCCACTCGGACGGCTAATGGAAAACGACTTTCTAATAAATATTTTTACCAAGATAGCTGAAAAAAATACGTCAAGCGAACATGTGAGCGTGGATTTTGACAAATATTGTCAAGAATTATAAATTGGGATTTATGGAGAGCGGATTCCATCCCCCAAAGCTTCACCTTCTTATGTGCGATTCCCTCTTCACTGCAGCTGAAAAAAAAAAGAACAATCTCGACTCTGAGAAAACATTAAAGATCTAGCCCTCAGGACAAACCCCTGCTGGGCGCACCTGTCAATCAAACCTCCCCCAGCGCATCTCACTGAAGGTTGATTTTGTGTTTGCAGATGACATCAGTGATAAAACCATCAGCCATTTATCTCCAGGTTGTGCTAAAAATTACCATCAAGGCATTGTGTGCTGGTTGTTGCTGCAGTATCTATTGATCCTTGTCAAGATGAGAYGGAGGAAAAGGCAAGGACAAACAGAGAGAAAAAATATATAAACTTTCTCTTTTAAATCTGATTTCAGATAATCTTATTCTTAAAATATATTAGACCCATTTTTCACAACTTTATACAATTTTCTGACGTCCTCTGAGGCCACATATTGGTCAAGAAACAACAGAATTACAGTAACACAGCACTTATATATAGGCTGTGTTCAGAGTTGATTTGTTGGATCGGGGGGAGTGAGACACTTGACTCAACTCGTCTCTTCTGTGGGCCTCTTCTCTGTTGGAAATTGTTTTGCAGACACAAAATTACAGGCCTCAACTATACTACAGCAGATAGTTTTAAACAAACAATTTCATCCTCAAGCTCGATCCAGACGAAAAAAAAAAACAGAAAATCCAATAAAAGAATGGTGAAACTGAAAGTCACTGCACGCCATAACTAAATACAAAATGTAAATATGAGCTGATTTTTAAAAGAAATCTCACAAGTCTTTTCAAGCACATTACCCGATTTTATTCTGGTCTATCTTTTTGTTAACACTGATATTGATTTATTGTAATAACTTACATCTTTCAGTTGTCATTTCATTTGGATCTCAGGTCCTCACTGCAGGCAAATGCGACCCGAATCTGATTTATTTATGACAGTTGAAAAGCTTTTTTCAAATGCGATCCAGGTCTTTTATGTGGTACTGAATCAGATATCTGATGTTTTTCAAAGTGACTGTCTGAACGTTCGTGTCACGTTACATCCGACTCTTTTATCCAAGTAGGGGTCTCTGCGGACGAGTGGGCGTGTCCCAACGAAAAGCGATTCTAAAGCGACACACCTGATTTGACGGACTTTGTTAAAGGGACACACCTGACTGGACAAGCAAAAAAGGGGCGTCACCGTACGGCACCACCGGATTGGACAAGAACAAAAGGGCGTTACTGTACGGCACCACTTTTTCCTGGAGACCCCTATTTGGGTCACATTTCTCTTGGTTAACCTTAGTGTTGGGGTCAGGGTCAGGCTGTAAAGAGATCAAGCAGGTTCTAAGGATACCGTCATGTAGGCCTCGTAGTTCACAGTGTTTATGCTTTAGACACGCCCAKTCTTGTGACWCGCCCACTTWGATTCCGCAGATAACCCCTTCTCGTTTCATCAGTGAGGTGGAGGTGAAGGATCAATAATTAACCTCGAGTCACGCTGTTTAAATCTGTAGCTCCACACATTTACAGCTCCAAAACAGAAGTCCACTTGCTTTGTCTTGTTACTTCTAATTTTCCATGTCCTGGATGACTAAGAATCCGCAGAAACATATGATAGTCGCGGACCGTATCAATCTTAAAGTTACTTTTTTCCAGCTCGTGTTCTCGTCACAAAAATAAAAAAGCTTCACCGGAGCATCCGGTCAGAGGCAGGTTCAGATACAGTGGGTAAAATAAGTATTGAACACGTCACCATTTTTCTCAGTAAACATATTAAAAGAGGTGCTAATGACATGAAATTTTCACCAGGCGTCGGTAACAACCCAAGTGATCCATACATACAAAGAAATCAAACCATAAATGTCCAGAAATGAAGTTATTTGTAATAATGTGGAATGGCACAGGAAAAAAGTATTGAACACATGAACAAAGGGAGGTGTAAAAAGGCATGGAAAGGCCCAGCTGAACTCTCAGTAATTAGAAAGCAAGCCTGCCCCTTGTCAGTGCAAATT